CTTTTGTGTTATCTGTTGTTTTATGTTCATGTTGTAACCATGTTGGACAGGCCTCCCTTGAAAAAGAGATCGATGATCTCAATGGGACCATCTGGTTAAATAAAGGTTTAAAAAAATAAATCGCGGTAGATTTAGTCAGTCTCACGACGGTATTGAGAGATCTATTTACCGCGATATTCGATATATTGTTACATCCCTAATATTTATTGATACAAATAAAAACAAACTGTCATGACCTATTACCAAATGTCCAGAAAGCATACAAAAGACGAACATCACAATTCCATTTTTTTTTTAACATAGTGACACACACTGATATATTTAAAGTAGACTGTTAAGAAGGAAATGGTGTGATTATGGCTGTAACACTTTTGGAAGAAACAAAAAAAACTAAATATAAAGCACAATATATAGAAAGATATAATAGCCTATAACAGTCTCACCTGCAGCGGGTGGAGTTTGAGGCAGAGAATATCATCATCAGTGCTGCAAACCTGAGCGTACTCTATCAGGGGGTCCTGGATCTTCCTGGCTATTGACACAGCCTGTCGCAGCAAGGGGGGGTAATCCCTAAAGTCAACCTGCACAGAGAGAAAGCAGAGGATCAGGATGAGGTGAGCTTTGGAGCATGTCTTCAATCCACCAGTTAGTGTGAACTTGCTGTGGTTACTCGCCACAGTGAAGCGTGAAACCCCATGTTTCAGAGCCAGTGTGTGATGAAGATACTACAGTGAGGTGTTGAGTGTTTACCTCAGACTTCTTGCTGTTCATGTACAGCGTGGCCAACTCATTGTCAACGAGCTCCACTCCCACAGCGGGGACAGAGGACTCTTGTTCCAGCTCGCTGATGGCCCTCTTGATGTCCTCCATGATCATTTGAGCATCTCTGCAGCACATGGCAGGTTTTTAGTGTTTCAACCGCAACTCAATAATAACTTGGAAATGTTGTTTACATGTAGCTTTTCAGCACATTAAGAAAAACTAACTAATGTTACCTGTTTTCCCCAGCGACAGCCACGACATGAGGCTTCTTCCCAGATAGAAACTTTTTGAGGGTTTCGATGTCGTGGGCCTGAAGATAACACACACATGTGAGAGATCATCTCAAAGATGCATCCCTTAACAAAAGCAACTGTTGACTATTAACTGTTCTCAGCTGGTACCTTCTTCTCTCTCTCATCCTCCCTAAAGGCGTTCCTCCTCTTCATGAAGTAGGGCAGACGCAGGAAGTCGGCCACCTCCCCTTCCCCGTTGATCAGAGCACAGAACACGGGTGTGTCTCTGTTGGAGCAAAGTGGGTAAGTCAGAAACGGTTGTGTCAAATAAGTGTGTCTTAAATGCAGTAAACATTGCTTTGTTGTTAATTTAAAGTAAGTCACTGTATCCGTTTAGACTGTGTAAAGCCTGCAGCACACTTACTCAGTCACTTTCACGAACTTATGAGTGAGCCCCTTGAGTAAGTGCGCAGTAGGGCTGTACCTGAATATCAGAATATTCGTTCGTTGGAGTACTATTCGGGTTTCAATTTTGTTATTCGGATATTCGTTTTGTCTCCGTTTTTTAAATTTTTTTATTATTGAAATTATTGAAATCTCCAATATCAACGTAAGAGCTTGTGCCTCTTCGGGGGGTGCTAACACTTAACCATAAACGTTATCGTTTACTTTCTCCGTCTTTATATGTAGATATGACTTTTCTCCGTTAATCTCCGTCACGTTGTTTCCATAGCAACAACAACTTCCTGTCCACAGCGCTAACTCTCCTTCAAAATAAAAGCATGTCCATACAAAATAGGAAGCCAAGCCAAATTACACTTACACAACAATACTGTAGAATAACAAAATGAATGCCGTGAATAAACCGAAATACACGTGTCGAAGCGGTTCACTGCTGATTACTACGCACCCCCCCCAGTCCCCCCCGTGCGGGCCGAATATTTGCTGTTGATTACTAACGACTATCCGGAGCTCGAAAAATGGAATTCAGGACAGCCCTAGTGCGCAGAGGTAACCTTTACTTTCATACCAAAAAGGGTAGGAACTGAATACATACTGTGAATGCAGACAATACTGTAGGGTAAATACCTGCTGGGCGCATATGCTACTCCCAGCACCCGAATGCCTTTGCCCTGACTCTCATCCATCAGATCATCGTCTTCCTCAACCTGCTGATCTGGTCGGTAAGGAGCCACTTTCAGCCAGTTGTACAACCGACGGCAGCAGGACTGTGAGGAGAAACACAGAGGGTTCATAAAAACACACTCATCAAACATACATTTTTAAACAATGTTGCTCTATAATTTCATATATATTTATACAATACTGATACAACGTGACAGATATCGTGAGGCATTACCCGGCAATGCTCTCCTTGGCCTCAGTGATCAGTTTGCTCTTGAGCTCCTTGGCCATCTGAGGGTAGAGGAACTGAGTGAGGGCTCTCTCTATGGCAAGAGTTCGCTGCCTGTTCCACTCCTGCACCTGGTGACTGAACTCATCTCTGTAGTAGAACTGTTTGATCTCGTCAAAGTAAGTCTGTTCCCCGGCGAAGCTGAGGATAAGCAGAGGGAAGATGCAGTCAGAAGCAGCGCCTTAATATCACTGGAGTCATAATTCCAAAGCCCCATGCTTGCTCTACTGACAAGGAGACAAACATAAGCTGCAGCTTAAAAATAAATCAGACTCCAGGGACCTATCCTACTTATCAACTCAACTTTCATTCAACAGACAAGCTTT